GGCGGACGGCATGTGCCGAGAGTGGGATGGCGAGATTACAACAAAGGCGAGCAAGCGACCCAATCATCTGAAACCACAACACGAATGCCAGAAGAAGGAGAAGAAGGAGACACGAGAAGGGATTAAGAAACAAAACGCAATATGTAAAATAAAATGTTAGGTTCGTCAGACAAAGGCCCTTCCAAAACAAAGTTTTACGGAAGCGATTATTTGCTCTGGGTCGAATTCCTGGATGGAAAATATTGATCTGGATAACCAATTGGCTGATGGACCTATATGTAATTATATTTATTTGGTATTTAGACTCTTTTCTCTGCATTATTTAAGAGCAAATATATACAGTCTGTCCTCTGTTCAACACACATAGCCATTCAAATATCAAAATGCATGCCCTTCGATATTTGTCTCTTTATCTATGGGAGCTGGGTTAAGGCTAAAATGAAAACCCAAATGTATCATGTTTGTGCAAACGCTGATAAACTGGCTAAGACCATGAAATCGCTGAAAGCGGGGATCTGGTTTAATCTCGGGCGGTTGTCCAAGTAGATTATAATATATACCCCACACAAAACCTCAACGTCTCCCACCAATCTGAACAAACGTCTTCAATATTTTAACTCTCCTCTGTGCGACACGGGAGCCTTCACCTTCACACAATATTCATTCACGGGTCGAGAAGAAAATAAGAGGCTCGCGAGAAATCAGTCGCGCATCTTTGTCTAGCATGAATCGTCCTCGCGTACGAGCGTCCCCAATCCTGCCCATCCATGCCGCCGTACCTGCCGAGAGTGCCGATGAGCTGCGGAAGGAGGAGAGGGCTGGGAGTCGGGCCGTTGTGCGAGCGTGTGCGGCGTCTGCCACAGAGGCGGGCTTATTTAACGTGTCGGTCGGGGCAGCGAGTTCCATCTACGATCGGCCCGGCCACTCGCCGAGAGCACGCAAGTCCCCAATCCCTTGTGTCGACCGCTAATTCGAGACGTGCCTCCGAAAATAATAACGCTCCTTAAGCAGGCATGGAGTATTTGGCCTCTGAGTCGTTAATTCGGGCGTCCTGATGTCACTTCTTAAGTGCACGGTTCGTGTTTGCCTACAAGATAGAAAGATGTCACTTTGTGACACAGAACACACAGGTGCGGAAACATTCAGTTGCAAATGCGTTGGATATTGCAAAAAAAAATTGTCTTGGCCCTATTGTGGATCTTGTAAAATTGTCATACAGCAGTACCTTTAGAAATCACAAGTTTTCCTTAATTGTATTATCAATTTGTGAAATATCTGTCATATCATGAGACAAAAGTGTCTTTGTGGAACTCGCACACAACTGTGTCGCTCCATGCTAGGGCATGGCCTGTGGAAGGAAATATCACAAAACAATTTATGAGTTCCATACTCTTTGACGTCGTGATTTAATTTATTATATTTTATACCTACGTGACTTTACCATAAGAACCAAAGAGTATGGATCCTTGCAGTCACGAAAACTTCAAATCTAGATTATTCCTGAGTTCTCTTAAAGGATGAACATGTGAGAGATCCCTTAAATGGATCATTAATCCACGCACTAGAGAGCATATCAACAGCACTGACCATGGTACAATCTCGTACTTGTTGACACTTGGAAATGGGAACCCAAAGTCTATCAAATATGGTACGTAAAAAGGCTGACTTTGCACCGATTCAATTTTTGCACACTTTCTGTGAACATACCCGTTAATGTCCCACTGGATCTGGTGGCACCTTTGGCACGGTGAAACCAGCACGGGCTCGTCTGGATTTGTTTGCCAATAATTGCAACGAATGGGATTACGAATGGCTTTGCAACCCCCACTCTCTTCTCTCCGTCCACCTTGTCAAAACGTGAACTGTTGCTGCACGCTCCGCAATATTCACTCAATCGTCATTTTCTTCGTAACTCACAGATGGCGGTGAGGTGGTGGTCAGAGAGCCGCGCGTTCTCTCCAAGAAGAGTGTTTCCGGCTCCCCAGCTCAGATCACTTCATCTCAACAAACTCGCGTTATGGAAAGTGAACGTTTTGCCGATGTGTTCGTGTATTGCTCGTTCTCGTAGTAATTTTTATCCTCGAGTTATAAAATGGAACAAATAAACAATTGTATTTATATTCATGAAGATGGATGGTGTAAAAGATCATGATAATGACCTTTTTGACATCTCCTCCATGTAATATTGTATTTATAACATTAAGCCGTGTTGTGAACACCAGAAGAGAAAACATTAAATACTGAAAAGACGATTATGTTGTTTGAGGAAGTGCAGCAGTTTGAAGGTAGAGCACACGAGGCAACCAAATGTTAGCCATACCCCTAACCATACACAACTCTCAAAACCAGACATTGGTACGAGCCCACCCACTGACCCTAAGGGGCCGTCCATAAATGACGTCACGCACCTGGGGGGGGGGGGTCAGACATTTGTCAAAAATCGTCACAAATGTCTGACACCCCCCCCCCCCAGGTGCGTGACGTCATTTATGGACGGCCCCATAGCCCTACCCACACTAGCCACACACACCAGCCCTAACCAATAAGCTAACCATTGCCTAGTACTCGTCCGCCCACTGGCTCTGGCTAGCCAACCCAGCCACTGGTAATGGCTACTCTCCCAGTGACCCACCAACCTGAACACGAAACCCACGCCAGGCGCTTCGGGGGAGTGACCTTCCGTTGATTTTGTTTTCAATGTTGGGGCTCACAGCGCCGTCTAGCGAACACACCGAGTAGTGGAAAGCAATGCTTTTTTAAATTATATATAACTTCGTGTGTGTGTGATTTATTCGGTGATGCTGGGTTTGCTGCGTTGGTTAGTGGTTTCACACACAAGGACAAATAACAAAACATAGAAACAACCCCAACGCATTCGGAATGTCAATTCCACCGTGGCTTTAAAGAGGAAGCGTCCACGACAGGCCACGGTTCTGGCAATGACCCGTCTTTTTAGCGCATGATGTGCTATTAAGTACGTGTTGAGTTGATGTGTTTGTTATATAACGCACGACACATTTTTGAACTGGTATTTATACAGGGGCATGACTGTAATACGGTACTGCTTACGTACTGTTTACAGGACTGCATTGAGCGCATCAGTCAAGGACTTACATTCATTTGTTATGATGTTACAGATTGAGTCAACTTGAGCCATCTTCAATTCTACATACGAATAAAACACATAACATGCATGACATCATCACAACACGTACATTTAATGTTCACAAAACAGTTCCAGTCAACGCATGACGATGATTAAAGCCTTTCCATTTTTTTCGAGATCCACATTTCCGTTGGAGATTGTCCAGACATAATTATTATTTAAATTCAACATATGTATTACAAATTGATACATTCTCATAGAGAAGTGGTTATTTCGTTATTAATTCAAACCTTCAACGTTAAAGTATTTACTTCCTGAAAAAGCGTGGCAATTCCACATTCTAATAAACAAGTGATCAATCTCCTCGCAAGCATGATTCACTTGATTTACCACAGTGGTACCGAATTTTACCTACCCTGGAAGGATCATAAGAATATAAGTGAATCTCCGAGTTATGAGTTCTAACCACAAACATCCATTAACAGCAGGGTCTGGTTGCAATGGATTACCCATCTCGGGAATGCTGGATTATACTTGATTAACAGCGGTCTGGTATGGCTCTAAAGGAGAGTTAAGTCTTTAATTTGGTCTAACAAGTTGCATGGCTTAGGAATGAGTAGGCTTGGGTGACTGGAGGGATGTAGGGAGACTGTAGGCCCTGTCTGTCTGGAATCTGCAGTCCTTTGTCAATCCACCCGCAAAGCCCACGCGTTTATGTCACAGGGGGTTTGTATGACCTTACTTCACCACGCAGGTCAGTGTGCGGTGGTCAAAGCCACTGGGATAGCAGTTGTCAATCGCTGTTTTTATTTCCGCATGAACCATATCATTGACACAAACATCGCTCAACAATTATGACAAATTTTAAGGAAAAATTATTTCCTAAAAGCTGACTAAAATGTTTAACCGATTTAATAACGGACTATTTGTCCGAATGAAAGGCAATGGTCAGATGTGTTGGCATTAATTACATTTTCCTTGAAGACAGCTTGCACTCGTTCCAAACAAGTACATTTCATATTTTTCATAGGAAACAATTCAACTTGTGAAGGTTTAACTAAAATAATCTCTGTACGACCGCGTCTCAAGACTCTGCTATGAGTCTTGAGACGCACGGTGGACAAGATATGCACGTGGAGGAGGCGGAATCCTTGTTTTATTCGTATTCATTCAAAGAGGAAAGTTGAGAAGCAAAAAACGCGTGTGAACAAAAAATTGCTACGTTTGAAAAAAAAATACATTAAATAACCCAATGTGATTTGTGAAAATAAATCACGCAAAACATTTCTATGGATATAAACATTTAATCGGCAGAGGTGAACATCAAAATCGTAAGCCTTGACTTGAATGGAGGGATGAGGGTTATGCCACCTTCAAACGGAACCTAGGGCGTCTTCGAGAGTGGAGAGATTTACGTAATCGCTTCGTGGCGGCTCAGAATTTGAACAATGGGCCGCGAAGCAGCAACCCGACTTCGTGTCCCCGCGGGCGAGGGCTTTGCTCCGAGCGCGCAACACGTTAGGCAACGTGAGTGGCGCGCGGTGCCTCGCTGTCACTGACCACAAGCGAGAAGCAAGGCAGAGACAGGGTGTGCCCCCAGACCATCCGCTCGCCTCTCCCACACACCCCAACGTGTCCCCGCCTCCACCGCTCGCTCACCTGCGCGCACACTTCACAGCAGCTCCACCTTGGGAGCTCTCCCCCCCACCCCACCTTCCCAGCCCCGCAGCCCGCTCGGTATTTAAGCGAGCGACACGCGGGTGCCACGGGGGTGAACACTCATGGGACCGGGCTGTTGATCGGGTCGCTGGGTTGTCCGTGAGTTGAAGCTGTGGTTGATTGAGGGACCAACGTCTGATCGTCGTTGTTGGGGCGAAGCGAGAGGCGCGCGCCTGCCTGTGTGAGTACGGGGGGGGGGGGAAGGGTGATAGGGTTACGCTTTCGCGTTGCACAAAGGCGAGGTTGTTCCGCGATTTATTCCACGACCTTTTTTTTGGGGGGGGGGGGGCGACGTGACATCTCCGCGCTTTAGCCGAGCACGAAAGGTTGATTACGCGTGAAAAAATCCGTCAACAAGCCAGCCAACCAGGCATCAACCCAATAGTCGCAGTCACACAACAAGCAACAACAACAACAACACTAATAACACGACGATCGGCCCCGGGAGAGTCAGGTTTAGCCATGACGTCTATGGCTCTGCCTCACCTGGTCCCGATGCTGCCGATGCTGCTGCTGCTGCTGTTACCTGCTCTCCCTTCCGCCCGGGCCGCGGGCAATGAGCCGAGCCTGCTCCCTCCTTACTTCAACGTGGCCGAGCGGGCCAGTGCCAGCGCAACGGCGACCTGTGGTCAAGACGAGGAGGGCAGGAGCCGGGAGGACACGTCCTGCGCTCTGTCTGGGACTGCCGCGCTCAGTGCACAGGTGAGTGGGAGTGAGTGAGTGAGTGGTTGGTTGGTGGTGGACGGGACGCAGTGGTGCCGCGCGAGACATGAGGAAGCGAAGTAAAAGCACGAAGTTCCAAGTGGCCCAAGGGGAGCAAAGATCCATTCAATATAGCAGCCGCTCGGCAAATTTCGGCTGAAATTTAAAGCCTAACGCGCATAATAAGATGATTGACATTAGAACGATAATTAACTTCTCTCACCTCTGTCTTTTTCTGCACGTGTCATATTTCTTAATATTTTCTGACTGCATTTCTCCTGTAGGTTAAACTAAGAATAGGTGTTACTCAATTCTGGCAATAAAACAGGTGTTCAGATGTTCAAACACCAAACAGACACCTTTTGCAAGTCGCGTCGTTAATGCAGAATTGATTCCTTGCAAAAGGCATCTATCTGGTGTTTGAACATCTTAACACCTGTTTAATTGCCAGAAAGAGTAAACCCTATTATTTTTCATACTTTGATACTGGCAAAAGGTCCTATGCATTTCTCCTATTTAACTACACCTCTGTCTCGTCTCTATCTCTCTGTTGTCATCTCACAACACCTCTATCTCTAGTCTACATATCTCCTGCCATCGCACTACGAGTGGGAGGCTCATCGAGTGGGGGGGTTATCATCAATTGGAGCCCCCCCCCAAATATAATTCCCGCTTCAAACCACCAATGAGCCAGAAACCACCACTGATGGGACACATCGGCATCTCTCATCACTTGGGGTCATCGTGTGGCTCCGTCGATGGGTCGTTAAGGTCACCGGCGTCTCTATTGTTGGGCCAACTGTGGCTCGGAAATAGTGGTTTTAAAAACACAGGGTTATGAGTGTATTCCACCACGTGGGGCATCTGTGATCTTGACCTAACAGCTCCTTCACTGGGTCATGCATGTCTTTGTCGTGGAGTATTCTTTCATACTGACTATGTGGTTTCACAACTGATGCTTCAAGGCCTTCATTGTAGGGTTATCAATTATCCTCATCTCATGGCACCACCACTGGGTCATCAATGTCTTTGTTGTGGAGTCACGCTTACATTATGGGGGCAGGGGGGGGTTCAGATAAAACTTCAGTTTATAAGATATACTGCAGTTACCTAGAGGCTGTCCACACTTGTATCATTTGACTAACGTTGTGCTTGTATTGAAGCCTTCGATGTTCATGTGGCTGACTTAATAGCAGCCCAATGTTCATATAGCATAGCAGAGAAGGCCGATACGTGAAGCTGACCAGTGGGGAGGCAAAATGTCTGGCAAGATATCTGCGGCGTAGTCTTGCAGGGTAAAATTGCCATGCCATTTGTGGGCTACGCTTGTTCGCTGAGCACGTGGAAACCACAGTTGGTTCCTTACCGTTGGAGTGTCCTCATCCTGGGGGACCCGTTGAGAGTGTGAGAAGGCCCCAAAAACGCAACGAGACTTCGGAGCTCTGAGACAGTGCCTTGTTTAACCAGGCGAGAGCCCCTTGATGATGTTCGGCAGTGATCGTCTGTTGGAAGGGAGACCTGGGATGAAATGCAAGGAGAACAGCGTTGGCGGAACGGTGGGAGATTCTAACGCTCCAATGGCAACGTGGATTCATTTGGCATCAAAGCCTCTGACTGAATCGCCAAAAATGCACCAGATCCCATCGGAAACGCTAAAGCTTAAGTAAGGTTGAGCCTGGATCGCGCTTGAATGGCCAAGACCACCGTGTAATTAAAAGAGGCGTAGTCGGCGTTGTGGACAGCAGAGGGCAGTGCAGCAGGATCCAAATAGCCCTGTACCCGCCTGCACGAACTTCTTTCGCACCGTACCTAGCCATGGGGGGAGGCCGTCATCCAGCGGTGGATTTACAAATCCGGAACGCGACATCTCGTTGCAGCCGCGTCAGAAAGTCGGACCGTGCCCATCAAAAAGGCTTGCGGACCAAAAAGAGCGGGGGAAGCACATCGACACGTGTTTTCGAGACACTCTTAAACAATTTGGCTGTGTGGGTCGTTCGGCTTAAGACGATGGGAAAGTTCTTGAGGCCCCCCGGACTTGAACAGAAGGAGCCGGGGGGGGGGGGGGTTCCGGACAACAGTCCAGGGGGTGGCACCAGTGCCGGACTAATCTCGTGCGGGACCTGTAGCATGATGTTATAAAGGGGCCCTAAATAAAAAAAAAACACAAATATTAAAACGCATTGTTTACTTGCATAATAAGTAATTGTATTTTTTTTATTTGCCATACAGCCAGATAATCCGACAAATCGCTAACCTTAAACACCCAGTCGTTCGTAAAAGTTGAAGGCAGTATAGTACTATAGAAATAGAGCAAGTGCAGAATCACTGGACCGGAATTTATAGCTTGAAAGCATTTAGCGCGGGGGCCCTTGAAAGTGCGGGGCCCGTGTAGTAGCTACTACTACCCAGTAGCACAAGTAGCTACTACTACATATGTAGTAGCTACTTGTGCTACTGGGTGGCAGACAAAAATAAGAAAGGGCGACGTCGCCACCGAGTTTGTGGTTTACTGAGGGGCTTTATTGGCGTTACCCTTGCGAGAGGGGGGGGGTAGTAACGTGGTCGAGGCGAGCATGGTTCGAGAGGATGGAGGTGGACGATGCTTCACACCCGTTGTTTTTTTTTGTGTGGTCCTGAGGGAGCGGTGGAAATTCCAAAACGTCGCCGTGACTGGGGATGAGTCCCTCCGGAGGGCAATTCGCCGTTGAGTTTTCCATGCACAGCGATCGTTCGCTTGTTTGGTGCTCGCACGCGTAAACGCGTCCACTGTGCGAGAGAGTAGAATGTTGTACAGTACCGTTTATTTATTAACAGAACCGCACATCAACATCCTGTGAACACCGATTGTAAAATCTTCAATCCATTCGGGTGGCCTCCCTACCCAAGCGCGCGTACAGCGAGACGCGAAGTCACGAATCTGAACTCACCTTTTTAAGGCCACCGTAATAAACGCCACTCAATGATTACTCACAGCGGCGAGTACATTTCTGCTGACAAATTTGACCAGCCGTGGGAAGCATTGTATAAGGGGCATTTATTTGTGTATCCATTGGGTATGTGTGAATGCGTGTGAATCGTGTGTCATAAACCTGCGCAAACATCGCCACCGGGGAGACAAAGGCGGCCGGGCGTAGTGCTGGCCACCCACCCCCTCGTGTGCCACGGTGCCGGTAGCCTTCATATAGAGGTGCTACTCGTGGACAGCAAACTTGCCCCAACGCTCTGTTGAAGGCTACACGGGGCGAAGTTTGCGTGCAGGGCCGCCTTCCTCGTACGCGTCTGGTGGAATGCAAGTGTTACAACCTCAGGGCATTCCCTTTTTTTCCTCTTTTGTGTGAGAAGAGCAAAAAGCGATAAATCGCTCTGACAGCCATCCTCCGTATAGCTACGAGTCGCACTCTTCTCATACAGTGCCGCAACTGTGTGAGCCTGCGCGCTAGAAAAAAAAATTGCTTCTCCAAATAAGGACATGTGGGTGGGTTTTTTTCTCTTTTCCCCACGCAACTGTGACAGTGAATTCTTAAAGAGTGATAAGGCCCAGGTAACTCTGCAGCCGAGCGTGGAAACCCACTCGTGTGATTTGCCATGCGCGCACACACACACACAGGGGCCCCAATTCGTGTATCGTTTTTTGGCCATCATTCTGCCGTGTTTTAGTGGAACGGTGACTGTTTTTTTTCTATTTTCCCGAAAGCTGGCCCGATTTCGCAGTTTGTTCTCTTGCGGATCGTAGTCTGCCATATCTCAATCCGCGCGGTAGAACCGGTGAGGTTAATCAGGGAGGGCTATGGCAGACTTTGTGCGTTTAGAGTATTTGGCTGCATTAACACGTGATAAGCCACTTTGTTGAGCTTCCCCCAGGGTGAATTCTCTTGTACGGTGGCTAGGAGATGTTAACTACCTAACCTGGTATGCAGGAGGGCGTGGGTTCGATACCGACCCTGACGCCTGCTGCTGTATATTTGGAGTTTGCGTGTCTCCTTGTGGTCGCGTGGATTTTTCTCAGGGTCCTCCAGTTTTTCCCACCACGTTTAGAGTATTTGGCTGCTATAATTTTCCACATGATAAGCCACTTTGTTGAGCTATAATTTGAGGCCAGGTCGCTTCTTTAACAAAAAGCTGCACAGGGCAGTGGGCCTTACCTGGTAAAATTAAAAAAAGTTTAGTGATGCAAAGCCACAGAATTGAAAATGTGTCCCTGCAATTCGCGAGTCATGATTCCGATGAAAGATTCATTGCATTTATGACCTCAGATGTGTGTCACTTAAGGGGGATGTGGTATGGATTCGTTGACTAAACATTCCATTACCCAAACCGTTAGCCTACCATGTACCTATATATTGTTATAAAGCAGTGCTAACGAGAAAGGTAATATGTTTAGTTATTAATTTGCGCTTGAAATGTATTGGTCGCTTGCAAGATTATTTGGCTGCTGTAAATTTCCACGTGATAAGCCATTTTGTTGAGCTATAATTTGTGGCCAGGTCCCATCTGATAAAGAGCGATATATCTCAGTAGGCTTTACCTGGTAAAATAAAATAAAATAGTTTCGTTTTAGTATATTAACGTATTTGTTTTTAGTGATTTGCTTCCCTTTCCTATACTTTCCACTCCTATTGTTTTTTTTTGTTGTAACTTCATGACCCTGCCCTACTGGACATCTGTGAAAAGGAGCTTCATAGCTCATCGAATTTCTCCAGGACAAATAAAAATGTTGATTCTGATTTTGGAAGACCACGTGGACTCCTAAGCAGTGTTAACGGTTTGCCTCTCTGTCTCTGCGCAATGCCAGGGCAACCTGTGCGAGATTTGCAGCCTGGACGACCCGGACTCCGCACACCCGGCCAGCAACGCCATCGACGGCACGGAGCGCTGGTGGCAGAGCCCTCCACTCTCGCGGGGGCCACACTACAATCACGTCAACGTCACCCTCAACCTGGGACAGGTGGGTTCAGATCCAGGCTGTGGTTCGTCTTCACCATCCCAGTACAGTCAGTGATGGCTGGAGGCGGATGAGCCCCAGCCCCTGCTGGAGGGTCAGTGCCCTTCTACTTCTTAGAGAAAAGTAAAAAAAACTGTCACTGCAACATTTACATCGATCTAGAGCAGAATCCATCATAGGCAAAAGCAGATCGTATTACTACTCATTCTGTTTATCGATTAGCACATATCTACAGTTTGTTTAACATTTACTTTTCTGATCCCCCCCTGAGTTTTGTCCAAGCCTAACCCTAATTCTCTATTTTGGATAGAGGACACACTTCCAGCAAGCATGGGGCATGATTAAAGTTGTTGACGAATGCCTCTCTTCGCATGATTTTTGGCAAAAACATAGTAATGTTGCCAACACAAAACGATCAGGGAAAGCTGCCAAAGTGATGTTTTGGCCATTTAATCAAGATGTCAGTCGTTCCAATGGTGTTTCTGGCCAAGTAACGATGCATTGATTCATCAATTTAAGTGGATTCTTTTGCACATGGTACACACATGGTAGTGTGTCACAATTCGATTATTTACCATTTCTGGAACTTCTATTCTAACGTTAGATTGAGCTGTAATGGATTGATTAAACTTTTACAATGTAGACGTGGCATTTTTGTTTTAAACGATACAAACGTGACGGTGAAATGAGAAAAAAAACACCATTGTATTTTTTGTTCTTAAATTGCGAAAACAAGGTTATTTATTATTTGTTAAGATCACCGGGGGTGCGTGATTATTTTACTTGCCTGGTGTTTTTCCACCTGCCATTATCCAGACAGTCCCACTGGAGTAAAGAAAGCACCATGTGCAATGACAGCAGCTGCTCATGGCTGTGTTTCTCTGTTCCATAGGCCCAGAACTAGGGCAGGTCTGGGCAGGCACAATCATGTTCCTCCCTCCACACACACATCATGCTGTCCCTCATCCCTTCCAGACTCCTCAGCCTCGCCAAGCTATGTGCATGTAGCCACAGCGTGGGGCGTGCATGCAGGGCTGCGTTAATACTATAATTATACCCGGAATATGTGTTGTATCATCTGTGAGCAAGTTTATGGAGGATTCTTGTCCCCTGGTTATGCTTAATTGGATGGTCTTCAAGGCATTGCAATAATTCCCCATTGTTTTGCCCAGGAATCGCCTGCTAACTCAATACTTTTTTGGAAGGGTCCTTACATTGGTAACTGTGGCCAATTCTATTCATTCGTGTTTGGCATGTGGGAGGAAACCCACCCATATGACGAGATTATTCTCAAAGCTCCATATAGATGGATTTAATAATTAATTACTATACTGTCATCTTCTGGTCACTTTGCTGCTTGGGCCTACACCATATTTACAGGAAATATTTCATCCACGCACTTACTGGTCGACGTGCAATTGTTGCATCCATTCATGGTTTAATTTCAATTCTGAAGCTCATGATATAAATATCGAAATGTGTGCATAAGGATATTTTTTTATTAATTAATATACAGTATGTGCCATATAATAGCTTTACATGACCCCTCCAGTAGCGAGAGACCACTGCATTCATCACAGTTTTTAAAATAAATAAAAAATGGATTCTTGTTTCAAACATTTTTTAAACCTCTCACGGAATTCAATGGCTCGTGACGAGGGTGAATTGACATTCCCCTACAAGCCGGGCTGAGCCCCTGCTTAGCTTGTGATACCTTGTGAGTTCGGCATCGCCCAGGGTGAGTTCTCTCGTATTGGTGGCGAGGTGTTTTCTACCTCACCTGGTACGCAGGAGCGTGTGGGTTCGATCCCGACCCCGACGCCTGCTGTATATTTGGAGTTTGCATCTTTCTCTTCCTGTGGGTCGCGTGGATTTTTTGCGGGTCCTCCCGTTTTCCCTCCACCCTATAAATGTCCGCGTGATAAGCCACTTCGTTGAGCTATCATTTGTGGCCAGGTCGCTTCTGAAAAAGAGTTATGTAGGTCAGTGGGCCTCACCTGGTAAAGTAAAAAAAAAATGCTTCGTTTTTAGTTCATTATAACTCTGTCCACCGCTGTGCAAACAAGCGAACGGGCCATACATTAGAAACCTTGGGAGGTGACTTGGCAGGTGGGAGAGAGGCCACAGCCCCGCGCTCTCCACAGCCTCACCCCGAGACGCGTGCTGATGGAGGATATCGGAATGCCGGCGAGTAACGCTGGAGAAGGGTGGGCTACAAGTTGCCCTGCGGTGGGACTCCGCTGACTTTCTCCGCTCGCTCGCATACCATTCCGAAGGGCGTGGGGCAATTTAACTGACAAGATTGGGTGTGCCTTTAGCTGTACTCCCCTCTGTCTTCTTTGGCAAGTAAGACACAACGTTAGCCTACTGTACGTGCAAACAGAATAACTGTGAATCTGAATTCTGAAGCGGGCGTTTGTTGCCAGAGGTCCCGTGGGGAGCGGTGGTGTCGCAATCGGTTCGTGTGGCTGCGCTACGAACCCGGCGGACCCGGGGGTTCGATTCCCGCTCACGGCCACCAACACCAGTGACGATTATCTGAACCGGTCCTGGGCCTCCCCTAGGTCGACTCAGCCTCAAATGAGTACCTCGTGCAGTATTTAAACATCGGCACTAGGGAGACAAAGGCGGCCGGGCGTGGTGCTGTCCGGCCACGCGCTCGTGTGCCGTGCCGGCCTTCATAGGCGCCGCTTGCGAATGGAACTTTCCCCAACCGTCTGTTAAAGCTATACGGGGGATCTTTGTCTTTGTGCCCCTGTGCCCTCGGAGGCGTGCGTGTGCATTCATGCTGCCTCCACCTAATTCGTTTGGTCAACAAAATTGACTCAAACCCCTTGTCAATTTAAATTAAGCCTGGCCTATTAGCATGGCACACCGCAAGTTGGCGACGCTGTCTTGGTGTACATCGTGGTGAGCATGCTGGACTTGCAATCCAGAACAGGTCACCAATTTGACCTCCCAGCGAGAGGCAGGTGAAAAAAATGTTTTGTCCATCTCGTCGCCTCTGTCCACCCACAAGCAGTATGAAGGGGGTACAACCACAGTTCGTCGATCGGCAGGTCATGTGTGGTGGAGTGAATTGTGGGTACTTCCATCTCTTCCAAGATATGTGGCCAATGTAGAAGAGTAGGTCAAATACCCGACTTGCAGCAGTCTTGCTCAGTGTAAATTACACTCTGTTGCATTTCACAGGTGTTTAACATTGAATGTGTTGCCGTCGATCTGGAGCGCCTCATGTCTTCATTTGGAACTTACAACAATTGCATATTTCCTTTTGACTTGTGACGAACGTTCTGTGCATGGTAAACAAAATATATGCCCCGAGTGTGCCAAAATAGAAACTTATTTTGAAGATACTTTAGAAATATTTTTTAGCATCACTTTACAGGGGCATTCCCGAATACAGTTTGTGCTCTGTTTGCTACCAGAGTTTCACAGGGATTTTCTGACATATGGTATCAGTAGTACAACAGGTGAAGCTACCAAACGTCCTGGTTTGGCTGAGGCAGTCCAGATTTCAGAAGGGCTGTCACAAAAAAAAAATCGGGATTTTGTCCCAAGATTAAAATATTCTACCCTCGTGCTTAACTTCTGATATGTACTCTACTTGTAAAGAATGGAGCTACATGGGCAGTGGGTGAGGCTGGAAAAGGAGTAGTTGGGCCCTGTGGGTCAATAGGTGGGGCCAATATCAGAAAGACCAGGGAGGCTACTGCGTGTGCGGGGCTCGTGATTTAGTGGGTGTGACTATGTAACAGCGGGCGTGGCTGATGGATGGAGGTGCTCAGAGTTTACCATGTGTCCCGGTTGAGCATCCCCAGAAATGCTGTAGCTTGAACACTAAGAATACGACCGGGAAAGAGTTGCAAAATACATTTACCTTGAGGTCAAGGCCACGGCGGGGAGCAGCAAACCAGCCGGCATGTTTATGTCAGTCACAGAATGGCAGAGTGGTCTGGGCCAAGCATCGTTCAGATTAGTCGTAGGGGTGGTTCCAAACGGCCCATTTTGATCCTGCTGCAGAGTTTGTCCATTGCCATGGCCTGGGCTGCAAAATACAATAGAATGTGGATTTATGTCGCGTCTCAATGTGAAAAACTTAACACGCTCGTCATCTCTTGCTGCTGTACAGAAACAGTGGGTGCATTGATTTTCTGGAGAGAGGCAGTTGGTCATATCCGAAAAGAAGGTCTTGAACAGAGTTTGGGTGTCGACAGCACGTGACAGCTGTGGGAAGGGAATTCTAAACTTTGCTTGCAGCAGAAGCCAAAGAGCTTAGGTGAACTAGAGACTTAACATCACCTCATCCTGACCCCTGAATAAAATGGTACTGTACTGAAGTTGGCAGGAAGGCTTCTGGCAGGTGAAGGCCACCCGTATTTCAGTCCGCCGCATTGTCCGGTTGACAAATACAACAACAAAGACGACAGCCGCCACCAAAACAACGTCCCAGTCGGCCATCTTTCATCTTACCCGCCACCACAAATGTCACGCGCTGCCTTCATTGTGCCCCCTCAGGCGTGGCTGATGCGAACGCAGTTCTTTCGAGGGCCTGAAATTTGTGGCCCATCGTTCCTTACCACTGCGTACAATTCTAAGTGTTAGCTACCCCATCTGTGGACAGCGCTAATGCCGAACAATCTGGCAGATGAAGAATCGAAGAGTGTTTGTCAGTGACTGAACCATATCAGTTGATTAAAAAAATGTTTGCTTGTTGCCAACAAAAATCGGGAGATGCCAGAATGCGTGGCAATAGGAAGCCTCACCGCTTCCATCTTGCATGTTAACTAGGCACAATACCGGAACAGGGGAGAACTACGTGTAAATGTAACGTCTGAGGTTGTGAATTATTATAGCGCAACTCGGATTAGCATGCTTGGCTACGCACGGTCCAAAAGGTCAATATACATACATACATACGTAAAAACCGGGACTTTTCATTGTCCTGGAAAGATGTACAGTTATCCTGGGACAGCTCCGTCAACACGGGGACAAGCCTAGCG